AGTCAACCTGTGTTTGAGATGAGGCTCAAAAAATGTTGGGAAATTCAACCAAAGTGTGATTTGGCACGCCTTGTGAAGAGGCAGCACTCCATCCTGCACAAAGGTCCAAAGGTTATCCCTGCATTCATAGATACGTTTCTAGTTCACCTCTCAGCTCTACTAACTGAGGTTTTACTTATCCAGTGATGGTTTTTATGCATCATTAGAAAGAAGAAGTATAATTTAAAGTGACGCAACCATGATGAGATGTTATTGACTTCAATACAAATATAACAGACACGCTTGAATATGACAAAATGGTTAAATTGTAAATTGTAATTGACACATTTCCTCAATCAAAGCCAATTCCGCGATTTGCATTAAATCCCTCTTAACTGCTGAAGTTTATAACTGTCCTCAGGTCAGTCATCAGCTGTCCATCTGCAGTCTGTCTTATCTCTCAGATCATCTCTGACAATCTGTTCTCAAAAGGAGGGCACATTCCTGAACTGATTCCTCATTTGGAGCTTATTTTAATAAGTAAAGGAATGTTGTGCATGAAGAAAGACAGAAAGAAACAAAGGCATGAAAGAGGCTATGGAACATTTCATGAATTTTATAAATCCATCTTGTGTCTGGATAAAATAAAAAAGTAGTATTATGATAAGTATTACAATATTTGTCTTAGTGTGTGTGTTTGTCTTGAGAACATGGAGGTATGTGTACACTGTAAAATGTTTGGCAGTAAAATTACAGTACATTACTGATTACTAGTAGGATTTCACAGTAATTTACTGTAAATATTTCACAGTAATTTCCTGTAAATATTTCACAATTTACTGTAGATATTTCACAGTAATTTACTGTAGATATTTTACAGTAAATTAGAATAAAAGTACAACTAAATACTGTGACTTTACAGTTGCCATGCCCATGGAATTACTGTGATATAGCAGTACAGAGCTGTGGTATTATGTTACCTTGCTGTACAGAAATTACAGTAATTATCTGCATTTTCACGCGTTTACTGTAGAAGTAATGCAACACAGTAGCCAGTAGTTTACTGTAAATGTACAAATGTAAATAATACGATAATATATTGTAAATCTGACTAGTTAACTGGGATTTTACCATAACTACACAATTCAATCAGCTCAATCAACAAAGAAAAACAAAGAAAATGCCCATTTTAACTTTTTATTACTCCATTGAAGTGCAAAGTACATTTCACAGTGTCTTGGACATGTTGTTACGGCCCCAACCTCTACTCCGCTGTTGTGGCTCGTGCTGAGACCCGCAACATGAAAGAATACACGCAATAACCGGTACTACTTGGTAACGAGCATTTATTGATAATCAGCCGTTTGCTCACACAAGCGAAACGGGAAACAAAAAGAGGTCTGGAGGACTGGCCAAAAGGAACAAACAGAAGGAGGGAACCCGAGCCAGCCACACCACGGACCGTAGGACCCAGAGCTTCCCCCCCTTAAGTTTTATGTAAACTGCCCGGAGATTCCACCAAAGAAGAAACAAACGGTCTTTTGAAGGTCGTTTCTCGGGACCGCTGGGTGGGGATGTCTTCTTTCGTGTGTGTACATCAGGATTTCTACCACAGAGGAAGTTGGGGGAAGAGACTCTTTCAACCTTCTCTGTGCTCAGAGACCACCTGGTTGAATTAATCTGGGAATTTTTCCTTAACGTCAACTCAGAAATGTTAGAATACAATCAGCTCATGGTGCAGTGATGGAGTGAGTTTAGAGCGTTAATGTAAACCAGGGTGACGCTGACGGGGAACATGCATGCTCAGCAAACATGCCTCAGGTTAAAAAGTGTTTGTATGTAGTTTGAAAGGCATTCGAGACTGGAATCCATAACTTCTAGTTCTTTGTGGAAACATGTACAAATAAACATTACAGCAATACAAATCTGAAAAACCTCCTTTTAAAAATCCCTTTTTGTGGCTTTTTATGGTCTTTACTAAAATGCATTTAATTTTGTATCCATGAAATTGTACATATTAAAGATGAAAGGAAATTACTAATTAATCTGTTACCTGTGACATTATGATTTTGTTTGGGTGTTAAATGAAACAGTGAATTCACCTGCACCCAATTTTCCATTTTTTAAAATGTGCATGATCTTTAATTTTCCCAGTTGTACCCCATTAAAACTTACTTTATTTTGAAACACCTATTTGCTATTAATTAATATAATAGATTTTTAAATGACCTAATTCAATGAATCTTCATCTGATAGAAGTAGAATCTTAATATACACATATCTTATCTCTGAAAGTCAGGTTTTGAAAAGCTTTATATGTATTGTTTACTCAAGGAGCTGTAAATATAAAAGTGGAGAGAATGGATCCAGACCATCGCTTTGCTTTGAACTTAAAACTAAATCCATAAAAAAGTTGACCATCTTTCACTTTAAAGCTGCTTTCTGTCTTTCTGTACAGGAATGGGTCCGATCTACATGAACGAGGTGAAGTGTGTCGGCCAGGAGAGATCCATCTGGAACTGCCCCTTTAAAAACATCACATCGGAGGACTGTCAGCACGTGGAGGACGCGGCTGTCCGCTGCAACGTGCCCTACATGGGCGTGGAGCACTCGGTCAGAGCTGAACCTCTTTACTACAACGTTCATCTTTAAACTGTGCTTCAAATTTGAGGAAGAGTTAGAAAACTGATTGAATGGTTTATACTGTTATTACACGATGTATTGCATTAGACAGTACAAGAAATGATATAGATTACTTGTGAAAATGCATTTTTTACTTTCTTATGCTTTCATGAATAGGCAAAAACGTTATAATGTCTTGTCTTGTATTTCCTTTTTTTCTTGCTCTAAAATTCCTTTTGGTTTTTCCTAACTTGAGATTTAGACCAGAGAAATCTCAAATGTTTCTCACAACCAATGCTTTTTCACTGCTTTCACAAAAAAACATGACATTTTGTTCAATATATTCTAAACCAGGTCCGTAGCTTGAAACCCGCTCAGCTCCGAATTAATTTATGGTTTAGAAATGAATGAACACAAACTATTTTTTTGGGAAAGCAGCAATTTCCTTTTAACACAGAGTATTTCTGGTTGTGCAGTTTGTATTTACCCAGATCATATTCTATTCCATGTTTCCTTTGGATACACATTCAGGCTGGATTTAGTGGAATGAAAAGTCTTCCCTTTTATCTTAATGATAGTTTTCAATTCGAGTTACACGCATTTAAACCATGTTACATTTCAAATGTAAAATAACAAACCTTCCAGAGATAAAGGTAGACTTTCTATCCAGCCTGGCCCTTGTGTATCTATGCTCTGCTTCCTGGTCTCTAACCCTCGGCCCCGCACAGATCCGGCTCGCAGGAGGACGGACCCGTTACGAGGGCCGCCTGGAGGTGCTGAGCTTGGACTCTAACGGGACGCTGAGCTGGGGTCTGATCTGTGGAGAGACCTGGAACACCAGGGAGGCCATGGTGGCCTGCAGGCAGCTGGGCCTGGGCTACGCTAACCAGGGCGTGCAAGTAGGTTACTAACAGCCCTAAAGCAAACCTCCTGCAGCAGAGCAAAGCTGCCTTTTGGTATATTTGACATGTGCAAATATACCCAACTGAATACAGTTAGTGCTTTGCATATGTGTTCAAATATATCCAATACTTCTGTTCAGTCACATATTACCTTATATGTGTAGCATACTAAAACCTGTTATTAGAACTGGTAACACATTCAAATAGTCCTTAAATTAAACTATCATGCTACATTTTGGTTCACATGGTTTGAACTATCTCTTTAATGTCTGACAGTAGATTATACGTTTCATATTGGGGTAGAAGCTACTTTTCCTACATGGAAGAACACGATACTGTTGTGGTCTTTTTTATGTGGGCTGTCAAACCAGACTCACATGAAGTTTCTAATCAAACTCAAAGCTACTCACCACTCGAGCTGAAGTGGTGGCCTCATCTGGAAAACACTCTCCCGCCTAGAAAATCTAACCAAAGCTGCTGCTTCAATAAACATTTTCCACTTCTGGAGGACTGTATATGATGTTAGCTTGAGCCCAGACAGTTCAGAGACAGGACAGGAAGTGTGTCCCGTCACTGACTCCCAGCAGGGCCTTTCTGCAGATCCGGATAGTGGGCGGCCGGACCACGTATGAGGGCCGGGTGGAGGTTCAGGTGGGCTCCAAGTGGGGCACAGTGTGCAGCGCAGGCTGGACCACAAAGGAAGCCATGGTGGTGTGCAGGCAGCTAGGGCTCGGATACTCCATGCATGCCATCACTGTAAGTAGGACAAACAAAGAATGAAGAGATTTGTTCTTCTGTGAGAAGTGGAACAAATGTATTCTTGACAGGATGAGAAGCTGTGGTGGAAGAAGTACCCAGATCTTTTACTAAAGTCAAAGTAGCAATCCAACAGTTTAAAAACAATCGTTTCAAACAAAAGTTTCCATCCAAAATCCTAAGAAAAAGAACTAAAGCACTTCAATGTTGCATTTGTTGAAGGTGGGGTTTATTCTTAATACTTCATATACTGCTGGGTACAAGGACTGATTTTAATATTTCAATATCTGCAGAACTTTTTACATCCTGCAGCCATAAACGAGTCCTGAACATCTACTGTTTTCAACTGAACTCTCTGAATGGCTCTTTCCTGATCGATGCACCATGTTTCTCTCTGTTTGCACGTTTGTCTATCCCCATCTAAGGAGACCTGGTACTGGGACAGCAGCAATGTGACGGAGATGATAATGAGCGGCGTGAAGTGCACAGGAAACGAGATGTCTCTGAGTCAGTGTCAGCACCACAAAACAGTCAGTTGCCAGAAAGCAGCGGCAAAGTTTGCAGCAGGAGTCATCTGCTCTGACAGTGAGTGACAGAAACTAAAGGAAAAATATATATAATATACATATTATATAATTGATTATCATACTTTATTCCAGATTTAAAGATTCAAAGGCTTTATTGTCATATGCAAAAAAGGTACAACGTAGTTTTGGTAATGAAAATTCTAAGTCCCAGGCTTCTTTCACAATGCAACATACTATACTTAAGACACAGAAAGAATACAATTGTGACATAATGGTTCACGTAATAAACAGGAATAAGAAAAACAAGATAACATAGAAGTAAAAGTAAATAAGGTATAGTCAAATAAATACTGTATACTGAGTAAATGTAATCCATTATAATATGAATACTCCTCCTGTGTGCAGCGGCCTCTGATCTGGTTCTGAACGCGCCGCTGGTCCAGCAGACGGTCTACATCGAGGACCGTCCTCTGCACATGCTCTACTGCGCTGCGGAGGAGGACTGCCTCTCAAAGACGGCAGCGCAGGCCAACTGGCCGTACGGTCACCGCCGCCTGCTGCGCTTCTCCTCCCAGATACACAACATCGGCCGAGCTGACTTCAAGCCCAAAGCTGGGCGACACTCCTGGGTCTGGCACGCCTGTCATGGGTAATGTTGTCTTCATTTAACAGGTCTTAGAATACACACCAATTATTGCTCTCCTTTTTTTTCATCCAGAAATACATCAGATTTAATGGGATATTTGATTCTCTACTTTAAGTATAAACATTGTTTTTGAAGGACATGGAATCCAATTGTTTAGGAGATGCTAGTTTACAGATTTTAAATGTATGTTTTTTTAATTTTGAAATTGTCTCTGTATTTTACAGCCACTACCACAGCATGGACATTTTCACCCACTATGATCTGCTGAGCGGAAACGGTACCAAAGTGGCCGAGGGACACAAAGCCAGCTTCTGTCTGGAGGACACAGACTGTCAGGAGGGTGAGTCTGATCAAAACAAATACAATTTTATGTTAATAGCACAATATTACAAACTACAAATGTGCCTCAATCTATACAACATAACACTCCCTTTGTCCTTAGACGCCTTAATTCAAGATTAAGTTAATCATTTTGCCCCTCAGGTGTTTCTAAGCGCTACGAGTGCGCCAACTTTGGGAATCAGGGCATCACTGTGGGCTGCTGGGATTTGTACCGTCACGACATCGACTGCCAGTGGATCGACATCACAGACGTCAAACCTGGAAACTACATCCTGCAGGTGATCATCTTCACAAAGCAAATACCACAATAATATTTGTGTGTAATGTACTGTTGTGTTTTAATCTCTGGGATTGTCTACCCTGTTACAAACATGTTTTTTTATGTTACTACACAGATTGTGATTAACCCAAATTACGAAGTGGCTGAGAGCGACTTCACCAACAACTGCATGAAATGTAACTGCAAATATGACGGACATCGAATCTGGCTCCATAACTGCCACATTGGTAAGCAGTCAAAAAAAAACTACCAAATTAGCAAATGTTGTAAGTGGTGCTCGTTTTCGGATTATTGTTTGTTATTTTATCAATATTTCTATCGTTTATACAACTTTAATGGGCCCAGATACTTGTGATTGTTCGTCTATGTATATAATTAGTATTCAAGTAAATACATATTATTGTTGCTTTCTTCATCCCTACAGGTGATGCATTCAGCGAGGAGGCAGAGAGGAGGTTTGAGAAATACCCCGGGCAGCTCAATAACCAGATTCCTTCAATAAATCAACAATAACTTCCCGACATATGTGCCCCCAGAGTCGGGGAATAAAAACACACTTTACAGGTTTAAAAACAAAAGACAAACATTTGTATTTTAAAAACTGGATTTCCTCACATATCATTCGGAGTTATGGAAGAAGCCAACAGTATTTTCCTGCATTGAATGTCTTTTTATATTATACTTGAATATTCAAGTTATTTTTCGTTTTTTTTCTCAGTCTAATGTGAGCTAATGCTATATTTTTTATTACAAAAGATTAAGAATGTTATGAATGTTCAGAGTTATGGGTGAAGCATCTTTATGAAGATATATTTGTCTAAATATTATACAAGTTAGCAGATCAATAAGTACTATTTAAACAATTTTGCAAGTATAATACCAGTAATCTTGTCCACAGAACAAACCGTAACACACCTGCCTCCACACTATTTATTGCTTAAATCGGTACTCAAGAACACTTAGCATTGTTGTCAGTTTTCCATCTGCTTTAGTCTTGATGTATTGTATTATTTTTAATAAAAGTAATCTAGGGTTTGAATGTAGATGTTATCGGTCAAAAATAAAAAAAACTACACTTACCCTCAACAATGTCTGAATGTAAGCTGATGTATCACAACTGCTGCACCAAATAAAGAGGAGAGGAATACACATTGTGCTGTACCCTTTTTTTTCAACTTATTTAAAAAATAAAATGTTGGTGGGTTCCTGGAGGTTTAGGGTTTCCGTTTTCAACACTTTTGGCCATGTTTTCTACTTTGGTTGCATATGTCCACCACCAACATGACAGTTCAAACCCCAGATTATAATCAGGTTTCTTGATAAATAGGTGTTTTTCACAGAGGAAATTGGTTTAGTTCATGAAAACATCATAAGAAAAAAATGAAAGAAATAGGTTATTGAAGTGTTTTCAGTAAAACTGTCTTTTAAACCAAATATATAAAATAAGATTCTGCACATGCATTACCTCACAAGAAGTAAAACACCAAGAGGAAAGTATTACATGTGTAAACAATCTCCCTTACTGTAGCTGAAGTTTTTTAATTGACTTCCTTTTTAAATAAGTCTGAAGTGGAACTATAAAGGATAGATTTAAGTTTCCACGGACGTTCTGTCAATGTTGCAGACACACAGTGGAGGTAACAAAATATATAAAATAAAAAGGTCTGGTATTTCACTGAGTTTATTTGAGTTTTTGGCCGTATCTCATTTCTGGGATTTCCCCTCCTCGACTCCTATCCTCGACTCCTATCCTCGTGTCTTAGTCCCGCCCACAGGAGATGCGAGCGGAGGAGCCGAGGAGGACCCATCAG